TTCCGCCTCCGCCGGCTGGGCCGGCAGGCAATGCGCCCCAAGCCCGGCATCGCTGATTGAAGGTCGATTCGTGCTTGTCGATGTTATAACCTTCCTTCTCTCGCAACATAAGCATCTCAACCTGAGCTATGAACCACTCGTATGTACGCGTGCCCGTGCCGGGCTTGTCTGAGGACATATCGTAAAACTGGCAAACCATGTTCAACTTCTCTGGTTTCCTGCGCTGCTCGAGGAAGTGGGCATGGATCGAAGCTCGCATCTCGTCGGAAGGGGGTCGTACGCCATAGAGTTGCTGGTGCACATCCGCCCATTCATTGAAAAAATGGTACAGATCAGCATCTGGGCGATTGGGATCGATGCAGACCTTGAAGATATCACGCGAAATACGATGCTGACCCAGCTCCGATCTAACTGAGCACAAATAGCATGTGGCCCTTACCATTTCGCGCCCTGTCAGAAGTCTCTTTTCATTCTGGGCAGGGAACTCCATGCGCTGAATTTGGTGGAAGAAATGATTGTGATGAACGGAAAGGCTGCGATTTCTGAATAGTTTCGTGCAGTTCTCAATCCAGTTGGTGACAATCCAGATATCAAGACGCCGAAAGCGGCCCGGGTTTCGAAGATGTTCTTTGGGCACGGTGGGGCCCATAGCTTCCATAATCCATAGCTGTGCCTCCTGAATCTCAGGGGGCGATCCAGCCACAGCGCGGACGGTATGCATCTGCCACTCTCGGATGTTTGTAACATCTGGGATGTCCATCGAATCGATCTCTGCGTCGTTGCCAACCTGTCGCCGCTGGTCTAACGGATCAGCGCTGCAAGGTTCTATTGGGCCGTTAGGCCCGCCCGACCCGTCTCCACCGCGCGGGGGCCCAGGTCGGCCTGGGCCTCCTGCGTCGCCCGACGGCCTGGCCGCTGGCGCCCCGCCTCCACCAACGCCTGACGGCTGGGCCGCTGATGTCCTCCGCGGCGGGCATCGGGTGAAATGGTGAAAATGGGCAAGGCTCAAGTCGTCGGCCACGCCATAAAACTCGGCGTGGAAAGGTACGTTGTTGCCTGACACACCCGGCTGGCACGGTTTCTCCAACGCGGGTCCTGTCACGGTGAAGCGGGGGTTCGACGGCGGCTTAGAAGTGGTTGTGGACAAGCCTTAACATGCAAGGGGCAATCAAAAATCGATCGCGGAGGCGGCTGGACAGCTGCCGGCCGGGCCGGTGCCGGCGCCTTCAGAGGCGGGGGCAAGGGCGGCCCCCCCTTAGGAGGGGCCAAACTAGACCAAGCCTGGTATTTGGCACCTGGCGGCTTGGCCACTGGCGGCCGCTGCCCCTGCGTCCCTGCCGGCTGAGCCGGTGGGCCCGCAGCCATGGAGTGCGGGTCGCTGCTCAGCCTCTTTCCCTTTCTCCGCTGTTTTAACCTCCGCCTGCACCGCAAGCTGCTTGGCAGCTGCGGCCTTCTCAGAGAACTGAGCCTCGAGTTGCTGGTCGCGCTGCTGGGCGGCCTAGGCAATCGCGATCTTCTCGGCCTCGGCCTTGGACCGAAGAGCGATAGCAAGTTTCTGGGCGTCTGACGCGGAGAGCTTCTTCTGAGCTTCTTCAACAAATGCGTCCATCCGAGCTCGATCGATCCTGGCCTGCTCATCTCTCTGGGCCTTCTCAGCTTTGGCTTGCTCTTGCATGGCCTGGGTCAAAAGATACTGGCAATTATGTTCATCCGTACTGATGCAGTCACGACAAAGCCAACTGACGCTGCATTTGGGACAAATCTCCGAACATTGCCCGCAGACGGTGCGCTTGCAGGGCCCCCCCGTTTTGTGGGCCTTCCCCGGGCATCTGTTTTCAGCTCGAGGCGGGCACATTGGGCCCGGATCCCAACAAGCATCACGCATGGAAATCGCGCTGACACTTCGCGACGACCCCGAACCTGATCGAGTTCCAGACCTATGGATCCGAGGTCTGGCTCGACTCGAGGCTGGAGATCGCGCTTCTCTGGGCCTCAAGTGAGCAGTACTTGGCGGCTGAGGCGGCTCAGACGGCTTAGCCGCTGGTTCGTCGTGTTCATCACGCTCAATCAACTGGCGAAATTATGCTATGGGGTCTTCGGCGTCGTCCACTTCCGCTGCCTCAAGGATCGTAGGCTGCCAGCCGGTTGGACCGATGACACGCCTGAAGACTCCCCTTTCAAGCGGACTGTGCTTCAAGTCGTCGTCCTCGTTCTCGTGTTTCTTAGTCTGCGGAACTGGCGTGCGGCGTAAGGCTTCCTTAGCGTGCCTAGACGGCGAAGAGACCTAGACGAGGGCTCCTCCGACTCGGTCGGGGCCCCGCCTGTCGGAAGAAGTGGTGGGCGAACCTCAGGCGGGATCTCAGCTTGCCCCGGATTCTCGCCCGAGGGCTCTGAGGCACCTTCGACCGCGCCGACTGGGTCGGGGGCCGTCGGTCCTTGCCACGAGAGGGGAACATGATCTGACGAGGGCGGCCGTCCACCCTCTGGTTCCAATAAAGGCAGCTCCGAGATCAGCGTGTTCTTGGTAATCGACTGTTTCTGCCTCGGATCGCTCACCGTCTGGGACGGGGCAATCGATGAGGTCCTGGAGTGGGAGCTCTGGGCCAGCCCGACCTGGACACGTATGGAAATCAGCAAGCTCGAAGTTGCCTTCATACGAATTCGCCTGTTTTTCGTCTCCGAAATGCCCGTCACTGTCGTGGCCGTCTTGCCCGTCCAAAGCAATCGGAGCGATCTGTGTGCCCTGGGGTTCGTCCCAATCGTCTGGGACGATGGGAGTCAGGTGGTGGCGAGGGGTGTGGCCGTCTAAGAAGCGTTGGGCTTCGAAGGAGAAGGCGGGGGCTTTCTCAGAAGGGCCAAGAGGATGCGAAGAAGGCTTCTTGAAGCCAGGACGGCTTCTAAGAAGCCCGCTGCCCCCCAACAAGCCCAACTGACTTCTTAGAAGGCCACCCCCCTCGCACCACCCCCTTGTGCGCGCCACCACACAGGGTGCAAGACAATAGTCTAAAGGCCTCCTAGATAGGGTCCGAGTAGATGGGGTCGAAAGATCGCGCCGCATCGGCGATGCATCGGCAATACATCGGCGATGCATCGGCGATGCATCGGCGACGTCGGCCACACATCGGCGACGTTGGCGTGGAGAAAACTGGGCTCCGCATCGAGCCGCATCGTCGATGCACCGGCGATGCGGAGTCATCCTCCGACCCCATCTAGGAAGCCAAAATAGTCAAAGAGCGATGGGAACTTCTACAACCCACAGGTCCGACGTCTCGATGTTTTCAATACCGGCTTCCGGGAAGTCCCAACCCTTCTCCGGCGCCAGCTTTTAACATCCCCAGCAGCTTCAATTGACGGTCCTAGGTCCCGGCGGGGATCCCCCGAGGCCGAAGACCATCCGCATTGTGCTTTCAACACGGCACGCTCGTGTCGTTTGAAAGCTGGGCGAGGGCTGGCAAATCCGTGGCTGCTAGAAAGGTCTTCCCGGAAGGAAAAAACAAGCTCCCGGAAGCAAGCTTCGCGAACGAAATAAGAAGCGGGCTGCTCTGGGAAGAAGAAAACAAGTTCCCGGAGCTCTGTTTTAGCAGCCACGGGTTTGCCAGCCTTCGCCTGGCTTCTGAGCCGTGACGACCCTGGCGTCGGCTTTTGACCCTGCGTGGATCGTTCCACCTTGAACGATCGGCGGCTACTGGATCGCTGGATCGTTCCATTCTTGGCCGACTCTGGGCCTCTTTAGAGGCCTCCTCGATGGGGTCCGAGCAAATCGGGTCGGAGGATCTCGCCGCATCGCCGACACATCCGCGATGCATCGCGGATGCATCGGCCATGCACTGGCGACGTCGGCGTTGCATCGGCGACGTCGGCGTGGAGAAAAGTGGGCCCCGCATCGCGCCGCATCGCCGATGCATCGGCGATGCGGCGCGATCCTCCGACCCCATCTGAGAGGCCCAGATCCTAGATGGATCGCTCCCTCCTTGGCCGATCCTGGACCTCTAGCGGCGCTGGCCCCGGAGAACGCCCGCGGCGGGGTCGCTGCCGCGGAGGTGCGGCACCTGCCGTGTGCGTCGGAGGTCTGGCCCTGAGGGCATCGACTCGGGCCCCCGGGCGGCCGTGCCTCCACGCCTCTCGGGCACTCCCGGAGCGCCCTCGGCGAGGCGGCGCTGCTGGAGGGCACCCCGACGCTGGAAGACCTCTTTTGGAAGAAGAGCAGTCGACAGGCACATAAACTCTTGACACTCCGCGAAGATTTCTTGGATCGGTGCTGGGCCCCCTCTGGCGGCGCCCCCGGCGCCGCCCCTGGGTCGCTCCGCGCGTCATGGAGGGGGGTCCAGCGCAGATCCAAGAGATCCGCGCGGATCGTCAAGAGTTTACGTTTATGCCGTCTTCTCTTCTTCGACCCTTCGAACCGACGAAAGCGTCGGACAACCTTCAGCTCCGAATCGGCGGCGAGCCGGGGGGGAAGTGACGACGGGGCGGGCCTTCTCAGAAGGCTCGGGGGTGCCCCAGCCGCCTGAAAAATCTTCGAAGCCTCCCCGCCGCCTTCCGAGAGGGCCTTCTCCTCCCCACTCCCCCTACAACGAAGCTAGGACGAGGACAGAGCATCCCTGAGATCTGGCGGCTCGGGCGCCGCGGCCTTCTCATAGCGTCCCGAAACGCTCTGGGAGCGTTCTGGAACGCTTTGGAGCGGATTAATCCTCGTCCTAGCCCCGCCCGATCGCCCCCCCGCGCTCGCCGCCGATCGGCTAAACGCAAGAGTGGCTCTGGGTAAGAGTGACCTTTGGTCCGCGGCTTCTGAGGGCCGCGGGTGAGCCAACACACAAGCGCACAAGACGCTACTGTCCGCACCGCTCGCGACGACGGGAGACCCCCATGGGCGCGCACCAGAGGCCACTCCGGCGAATGGTCACTCTTGCATGCAGCCGAGCCGACCGAGCCTCGAGCAGACCTCTCCGGTCACACGCCTGGGCAAAAAACCTTCCGGGACTCTCAGCCGAGGGGCGGGC